AGCGACTCCCCCTCTCCCCATTGCTTGAAAAAAAAAAAAAAAAAACCTTTGCAAGAGAGAGGATTTTGCGTGTGGTTTCCTTTATGGCAGATCAACTTTCTTAGCACCTGATCTGAGGGCATGTGAAAAATAAATGTTATCCTAGGCCTCAGCCACCTCTGCAGCCAGGACAGGTCTCAGCTCTGGGCCACTGCTGTTAACAGGTCTTTTTGCTGAGGATCGTGAAAGAGCCGTTTAACCTCCCAGAATTAAATGAAAAGCTACGTGGTATGGGATAGGAAATGGGGGCTACTGCCTTCTAATCCCTCTGCTGCTGTCTGCCTTCAGGCAGGGACCGTAAACCAAAAGCGTCGAGCTGAAGTGCGGCATTAGGAGCATTGGTGTGGAGTTTAGTGTTCAAAGGCTGCGCTGGAAATGGTGAATATCGAGCAAATCTGGACGGACTCTCCAGTGGCACCCTCTGTTGAGGCTTGTGTGACCGCAGAGATTAAAGCTTAAGTTATCCAGCTTTAACCACACGAGCTGAACTGGAGCAGTATATAACCATGTGGGAATATTGGTGAAACGTGCCTTTTCTGCAGTGTAACTATGTGCCCACAGGAGACTGGGTGGAAAGGTCCTACCTCTGTGTGAGATAGCGATGCAGGATGCAAACTTTGTGTAAAGTAGGGCCTGGTCTCCTCTTGTACAAAGTGGGTTTAGTCTGTGTTCAGGGAGCTGCAAAGCTTAATTAAGATCCTTAAAAGGACAAAAGGCGCTACATAAATTCGAGAGATTATTATAAATGTAACTGCTTTACAAGCTCTGGCAAAAATCACAGGAGGAATGACGAGACCTTTCGCTTCACAGCACTTCCTAGCAGGACTACTTATAGCTTCGTGCTTCAAAATAGCAGCCATAAAATGTTGACATTTATAATTAGATGTGCATAATAATCTCTTTATTCCAGGACTGAAAAGACTGGGTGTGTCTTGAAACGTCAGTTCCTTCTCGCTGAGGATCCCCCTTACTGGGACTGCTCAATAAACTATAATTTGGTGAAATGTCTTGGGGCCTGGCTCTAAGAGGTACTGAATATTTGCAACTCCCCCAGAGAGCTGTGGGCTGGGTATTTAGTGAATAAAATCAAAGCCTCTGTGTGTTTTTAATCTGATTAGTTGATGATAATCCAATGGTATCATGCAGCCAAAGCTGTCCAGCTTTATTAGGCAATCTCTTGTTTTAAGAGAACCTTGCTCATGTGGGAGCACCGAATGCTGTTGTTTCTGTCAAGGATTGACAGAAAAGGGTATTTTTTGGTGGTTTTAATGCTTTGGGAGAGTAGAATTAATCTGGGACTTGGAGAGCTGAGGGTCAGCGGGTTTTGTTCCCCTGGGTGCTCTCAGCGAGCTGGAGCGAGCCGGCCGAGGGCTGCTCTTCAGCACGGACCTCTGCCGAGCTGCGAGCAGCGGGCCCTGGCCTTGGGTGCCCTGGCGCAGGGCACCCTGCCACTGTCGCTCGCTGAGCAGCCTCCTGGGGTGTCTCAGGGGCACAGCTGAGGGCTTTGCCCAGCCCAGGCTGCTCCTGGTGGGAGTTATCTCAGCCTGGCCCTGGAGGTTGAAGGCTCCCAGGGGACCGTGGCTGGGAAGGGCCCTCGGAGGGCTCCAGTGCACCCTCCTGTGCAAAGTGGGGGGGCTGCTGTGATCCCAGACTGGGGGATGCCCTTCCCCCTGCTGCTGGGACCACCCGGGTGGTAGGGACAGGTTTGGGGGTCAGCAGGTCCAGGTCGGTTAGGGG